AAGTGTGCATTTCAAATCATTCTCATCTATATTAAGCCGATGTGCCAAATACATATTACAACCTCTTCAACCTTCAGATTTGCTTTCTGATCTAATGATGTAAAATTAATGAGGATACTTGCCCAGTTGGGAGTCAGATGTGTACAAACTATAAAATCCTTGAGGACCACACAACACAGTTTGCCAATGCTGTGTTAGCTGCTGCATGTAAAAAAAAATATTTTAATTTTCAAAAACAGATTTTAAACTATCCAATGGGAAAAGTAATTATGCCCATTACAGTAAGATTACTCCACAACATCCCTAAATTGTTAGGCAGGGATTTCGTGCATTTATTGAAATATTTAGAGAATGTTGTGAAATTCCTTGCTTCATATTCTGATTGTAAACATATATACTTATAAGAAGTGAATTGCTGATATTATTAAACATTTATTAAATTAATGTTGATTTCTGATCTATGCAGGACAAATAGTTTGACCCTATCAACAGGGTGCAGCTGTCAGTATGTCCCATGTAAAAGAAAATAATAAAAGAAATTGGAGTCTAGTTATGGCAAACACATGCACCCAGTACTTGAGCAGTATACAGGTACATACTATACAGACTTTTCTTTCAAATTATCCTTTCATCCATTTTCTAACCACTTAATCCAATACAGAAATGCAGGGAAGCCAGAGCCTATCCCAGCAAACAATGGCCGCAAAGCAGGACACATCCTGGACAGGGCATCAGTCCATTGAAAGACACATGCAGACACAATTACACACACACTCACGGCAGATACATTTTCAGAAACAAATTAGTCTGCCAATATAACTTTGGACTGTGGGGGAAAACCAGAGTATCTGGTGGAAACCCACACAAACATCAGAAAGCAGGTCTGGAACAGGGTACCTCATCTCTTCTTTCCTTAAGTAAACTTTTGTAGTCTGACCTTGGAGATTTATCTTAAGATTTTAGTACTCACAGCACTACTGCCTCTTCGATGCCAATACTACTCAATACAGACCTTTGCCATTCCTTAGTGTTTAGTAATGTTGGTTTATTGCTTGACACCTGAATTAGGTCGTTTTATGATTTGGCTGTGATTTGGTCTCTACATGTATGGTTTCAAAATATACTTCAAAGCCATGCCACGTTATGATCATTGTGAACTAACAGTTTTATCACCTCAATTTTCCTTAAACTTGATGTCCGAACTCTGTGTCCTGACTGGAGTTTTACAAGATGATGATTTTTGCAAATGCAATGTCTTCAAACATTTAATTAAACCTGAATGTATGTAAAATAAAGTGAATTTATGTAGTGTATAAGAAAAGCAAATTACAAAAACTGTAACTGTAGGTTATTTTAATATTTTTGCATCTCTTCATTGGACTGGCATTACCCCACCACTTACACCACCATTTGCATTTGTAATGATTTCCTTTTTGACTATGAACAGCTGTGTGGTCTCATAAGCCCCGTTCTTGAACCCAAGGTTCTAAAGAAAACATACAGCTGACAGCCTGTTAAATCTATTTTAAATGTTTCCAGCAAAATAACATAAAAATGCTATTACATTGTTTTTGTAATATATTGATAAATATTCAAAACATTGAAACTCCAACTGAGAAATATTGAGCTTGTAGCCTATAAACAGCTAAAACTTCAAAAACTGCTTTTGCAAACAAAACACATTCATCAGTTACCATCTTTATTCTACAAAATAGAACAATACACACTCCAGAGACACACTCCAGTCAACTTGCACAAATTGTTAATAAATTTCATTTTGGGAATGACTTTATACATCAATAGTTCCTTCTGTGCCATTGTATTAAAGCACCAGGTGTATATCTGTTTAGTAAAGTAAAACTTTATCTTTAATATATATTTATTGTTGTCAATTGCTTTCACTTAATTTTATTTACAAACGTTGATGGTGTGAAATGTATCACTTTTTTATTTTTATTTTGAATTACATACAATGCTACACTAATAGATTTTTGGGAATATAGCTGAACAACTGCATGTTTCAATAACCACACCCGTGGTAGGTGTACAGTTTGTAAATGTGTATTCTACTAAGCAAATAAGACTGATGAATAAATGTAACATTGGTAACAAATCTAGAAGACAAATTGAACAGTAGCATTATTGTTGGAGTAAACCAAAATACAAAAAGGTGACACATCAGCATGCTAAGAATGAATTATATTGTTTATTATTAAATATATGTGAAATATAAATTAGAACTGAGAATCAGACAAAATATGCACTATATTATTATATTGTTTAAATCTGATATTTTTTACGATATACTTCCTTGTACATTCTTGTGTTTGTGAAGGGTAAAAAGGAGATATGTGGCAGCCATTCTGCCATTCTGCACCAGCAGCCCTACTACACAGTGGATCAGGTGAGGAACTGAGTAATTACTTCACCAATTTTCAAGTTCTCAAAATGGGCTTAGCACAACAGGCCCTCACATTCCCTGACATGCCAACCTCGATGTGACATCCAATTGTGTTTGGGGGTAAACATTTAAATACACAAAGTTTTCTACCAGGATGTAAAATGAATTTAGTTTTGAATTTGCTAGTTTACTTAGTTATTATGTGGTGTCTCTGCATTCCTATTAAAACATAATAATCACTTTAAAAAAAGTTAAATACAGCAATATATCAATATATAAAGTTAAATACAGCAATATATCACATACCTGTATTTTATTACATGTTTTATTTATTCTTCTCTCTTATTCTCTCATTGTAAATCAGAGTTCTGGTTTTTACTTTTAAAGATGCACACTTATTAAAAAACACCAGATGTCAAAAGAATGGAATATTTGTTCATTCAATAAATACCAGGAAATAAATGAATCCTGTACTGTATTTTTCTCTTTTTGGTGCAGTTTTAACTGTTCGCTCCCATTACTAACTTAAACATATTACACTTATCAGATCAGAAGAACAGCACTCATTGTAAATATTATAATGCTGTGGAAGAAAAGAGAACCTAATTACAGTTTATTGCAGAAAACAATAATTAATAAGAGGTACTAGCAAGCAAACACTGCCAAGTTACCATAAACGGTGCTGCTACATCTGCAGCCTACAAAAACAAGTTAACCTTGAAAACATGAGTATGCATAATGTTTACTTCATATTCATATGATCTGACTGTCATATGGTAATAATGCATTTACACAGTGTCAGAAAGCAGCTGAATCATGGCAGAGGCCAGGATCTATATTCTGAAAGAGACAATGGTGCATCACAAGAAACATATTGTATCTGCGTCACAAGTTACAGTATGTACTCCTAGTATTGCTGCAGGACATATTATTAGAATTACACTTAGAATTAAGTATTAATTTAGATTTCTAATAATCCTTGTATTATTGAAAGGCACAGCTTGGTGCCCTGTTGTAAATGCAGAGGAATGTAGCTAAAAGGCCCCTCTGATAAGGGACACCATTAAGCTGTATCCAATGCTGAACCATCTAATGTGATACAGTATACAGATATATGGAGCAAATGGGTTATATTAAGTCTGTTACTTCACAAGACCATGGGTCCAAAGTCACTGCTCATCACCCAAAGGCAATCTGACTTTTCCAAACACGTGACTGCAAGCAATCCGAGTCAGGACTCAAACTTTTTTCTAAGACGCCAGGCTGGGAGAGTAAGTAAAAAGCAGCCGAGATATTCTTCCTAAAACAGATTAAATCTTGTGTTTGAGAACTCAGTTTTTTTCACCTGATCAACAAAATAAGACAGTTAAGACTCCTTTTGTCGACATCCTGAATATCTGAGCATGTAGCCGAGATTAATCAAGTTTTCCCCAATCTACCTTGCAGCCGCACCCAAGAAGAGAACCTTGCACAGACTGTTTTTAAAGACCAAAGCTAACCCACACTAACTTCTGGCAAAGCTGCCTCACCAGAAATGTTAGGCAAAGCTCTCTTTCTTCCTCGCTCTCCTCTCAGTAATGGTACACTCTCTGTAGAGAGCAAGCAGCTGACAAGTAGACCACAGGCCAACCCAGCCAGCTCAGTTTTCTCAGTTGGAAGCTTGAACTCATCAAGGATGTTTGGCCAATGAATCTTTGAGTATACAACTTATTTATTAACATTATAATTCTCTAGAGAATTGAACTATTATTCCAAACACATGTTTGATGTTATTGTCTGTTCACGATAGTAAATGGATATTTACCTGTACCTAAGAATATGAATGTAATGTCATTATATAAGACTGATAAAACCTAAGAGCTAGACCATAACTCTTTTTAGTCAATGTATTTTAACTCCAAAGTTATTAACTCTTCTCCTTCTTATCTCTGAGTAAATAAACGGCTAATCTATCACAGTAGATCATTTCACAAATATATTCTATTACGTTTGATACGCATGTTTTGGTGTTATATCAATACATTATATATTGTATATTTAGAATCCGTGTGTGGAACTGTAAATTATTTAGTTTAATTGATTCTTAAAAGTAATCAAATTACTCTTGCAATTTACTGTTACAATTTCTGATTACAATAATTTACTAGTTATAATATTTAAAACCCTCACATCACTACAGTAACCAGCATGTGTAAAGAAGAATAAGGAAATCAGAGCATCCAGACTCCCTAAATATTTCAAACATTATTTATTATATAACATTATTTACTCCCACCAAGTTAATGGTAACTACACAGCTAATTAACAATGAAGAAAGATTAGCCCAAGATTTGAATTAATCATATATGAATGGATTGCTGCCCACTCATAAGTGACTTATGACTCTGTGTTGTTCACAACCCAAAAACATTTTTGAACGTACAATTCTTGTGCATTACTATTAGACATAATATGTGCTGAACTGCAGTTTGATACAGCGTGAGTGATTGTTTAACTCACCTACTCTATAATTTTACAAGTTTACATTCTCCTCTCATAAATAAAAAAATGACAAAAAACAGCACTTCTGAGAAGATAAGAGTAGTCTGAGTATCCTTACCTGCACAGAAAGCATTGACATTCTCATCAAATTGAAACCTGACCACCATCCGATTATGGTCAATAATGTAAGTCTGCCCATCCCAGGCACAAGCAACTACCTCCTCACGTCCATCACCCTACACAGAGATAGAAAAATAGGCATCGATTAACTTGAACTTGAACTTTATTGCCATATGTAACCGGTACTGGTACAATGGAATTCTTACTCACAGAAAGTCTCTCGATTGTAAAACAAGTGTAAAAAACAAGACAAAGTGCAAACAGTGCATCAAGACAATGTACAAACAAACAATAGACAATGTGCAAGTAAACATGTAGACAGTTTGAATGTAAACAATACAGACGTGTAAACAATGACTGGAGATGTGCAATAGATAAATCATAAAGAGGTAGATGGTGATGGTGTAGGTGTGGTCCGAGGGGGATGGCTAAAAGTGTTCGCCAGTCTCACTGCTTGTGGATAGAAGCTGTTGAAGAATCAATTATTAGAATTATTAGAAATTAGAAAGGAATGAGGACTATTGATATTATTATTGCCCTGATACAAGATGCAAAAAAGACTGCAATTTAACAGAACTTAATATAATGGAGTAACTGAAAAACATAAGGTAACAAAATGACTGTGACAGTAAGATGACTCACTAGGTCTAAAGGTTAAGTCTGAATTGACTGGTTATGACACAAAACAAAGTTGTTAGTAAGGTGTGCAGAAGTGTAGATAGGTTACTAAAAGAATGATGACACAGCCACTATAGTACATACTGTATGGCCAAAGAAAAAATGGAGCTGTTTCCCTGAAGTCCACACTACAAAAATGCAACCACTTCAAACACAAAGGACACTATATTTACAGTACATGTATATTTATAATACTGTCATTTACAAAGAATAAAAGCAGGTGGAGGCTGGAGATGCTTCTTTTCTACATAAAGCCCCTCCCACCAGTAGTGTGTCCCACTACACCAAACAAATGGAATTCCAGTAAACAAGCATCAACATTTCATTTGGACCCACCCTGTGAATTGCATATAAACCACATTCCCTATTAACCAAACAAAACACATAATAAGACCATTTATTTTAGGTATATTTTTCAGTTTTATATTATACACCACCTACATAACAATGTCTTCTCACTATTGTGAACTACGCATTTTGGAAGTCATGCCATGGTTTGGGTCCTACTCTACCATCCATGCGGAAGATGCAATTGCACTAGAGCCTAACATAAAATACTTAGTGTCACGGAAGCCGGTTCTGACTCCTGTGAAGTACGTTATAATCCGGAAATGACTGGAAAGGACAACTGTGGAAGGTACAGCAGGGTTAGGACGGGTTGACAGACAGGGGGCGGTGACTATAGTGATCTGGTGCACGGGGGGAAATGCTGATGCCACCAAGTCCAGTGAAGTCCAAAACGGGAAGTAGGCGCAGTCTGTAGTCCAAAGTCTGGGAGATCCATCCAAAACAAAAACAGGATTAAAATCAGGAACTGGATCCGGAGCAGGAACAAGAACTAAAAGCATAACAGAACCAGGCGCTCTGAGCCCCAGACTCAAACGGTCAGGACGCTGGGGAATAAGGCCTGCCCGTGCGCTGCCCGCAAGCCTGGGGAATAGACAAGCCTTGTGGCATCCATCTTACAAGACTGAGCCAGGAACTGCAGAGGCGCTAGGCTTTCAACCGAAATTTAAACGAGACTCACCAGGAAATATTAAAAACTAATCATAACAGAAAGGGGTAGGAGCAACCTCTAGAGGAGGGATGTGGAACATAACACTTAGAATACAGAAGTAAGTTAAATAAATCTCTGGTTGTTTTACTTTTCTTGTCAACTGAAGACTGTGCCCATTTTGTGTTTATCTGGTGTTTTTTCATCTAATAAATGACTTTGCTTTCCTTTATGTTTGTACCCACATACATTTGATGTACTGCTTTTAATATTTGTACATCTGCCAATTACTTTTTTAAATTCATTTGGCAAATGAATGATTTACTTGTGTATTTGCGTGTGTATGCACACCCATTGAGTGCTGTCCATGTTGTTGTCAGTTTCCAGACACAGCTAGAAGCAAATTTCCACTGAAATTGGGTTTTCTGAAACAAGCACTAAGATGCAATTTTCTGTAAAATTACTTGCTCTGAGTGATGAAATGGGTATTCTTTAACAGTGAAATAACAAAGCATGTTTTGTTAGGCCAGGACAGAGAATCATTTTATCCACACCCCTGGATAACATTCAGCACAGTGGTGTATGTCACTATTTGTTCACAAGAATAAATGCAGTTTTCCAGATTGAAAAGGGGGCAGAACGGTTTCTGTGCACTCTGAAGAGCAGGGTGACACAGAATGCAAGGAAACAATGACCTACAGTATAGATGGGATTTCCATGCCCTAAGCAACCTGCTCACTGAGATGTGTGTGAGTTTGGCAATTTGTCTAGGGCAGGGGTGGGCAAGCTTTTTTGGTCCAAGGGCCACATAAAATTTTGAAACTGTATAAAGGGCCACTTCAGGCTCCTCTTACAGATAGCCTATGCCCTATATAAGTTTAAAATCCAACATAGGCTTATTAGTTCAAGGTTAACGAAAACCTGAGAAAAAAAAATTAAATATAAAAAAATAAAAACTGAATAAAACTTGACGGTCAACTCACAAGGCAAGTCTTCACCAATCACCTCAACCTAAAAGGTAATTGTTCTGCATGATAATCTTATTATCTCAAATTTGCTCTTGCTCTCATGACAAAGAATATCTGTGGTTTCTATCATACACTTAAAAAGCTCCCCTTCAGAGAGCGGCTTTTTTTCTTTAGCTATTTTATATGCAAGCAGGTAGCCTGCCGTTGTGCTGGCCTCTTGGATAATAGAAGGGCAGAAAAATACATTTTGCTGAACCTGTAAACTAGCGGCTAGTTTGGAAGCTCTATTAGCCCGCTCTTCACATGACAGATTGCTAGCATAGTTACTGTACCATGTCTGGTAGAAAAATACCAACTGAGATTGTATTCTTTGAACACTGCAACATTTTCCTTACAAATTAAACATACAGCCTTTGTTCCAACCTCTGTGAAAAAGTATTTTGCAGTCCATACTTTGTTGAACACTCTGATTCACTGTTTACTTTCTGCTTCTTCAATCAGGGGTTCCCAAACTTTTTGGATGGGTGCCTCCCTTGGCCTGTCAAATTTTCCACATGCCTCCCGTCTCAAAAATACGTTCTATGGCAGTGCGATATTTTACAAAAGATTTTACATTTGCAATGGAAATGATGGGTTAAAATAAAAACAAAGTTGATCCAATTTTTATTATTTTTAATCATTTTCAAAACCAAAATACTTTTTGGTTAATAATGACTTTTAAAAAATAGTCAACATCTTTGTAAAATGCAAATAAAATGACTTAGAAAAAGTACAAATTTAACATGAATGTTTTTCCAAAAGAGGGAGAAATACAATGTATTTTTGTCTGTGCCTCTTAATAGGTAGGTGGGCTTGTTTATCAAATTACATTAACATGATTCATTAAAAATACTGGGTAGTATTTTTTAAATGGCAACATGCATCTCCTTCTCAGTATTGACTCTTGATCTGAACTTGGATTTGATAACTGCAAGTGCTGAAAACCCAGCCTCACAAAGGCAGGAAATTAAGATAAGATAAGATCAGTTTATTACCCATATACAATTTTGTGCATTAGGAAATTGTCTTTTTTCACATATCCCAACTTGCTCTTTGTGAAACACACAGACAGGGAGAGAAGCTAGGGGGCAGAGCACAGGGTCAGCCATTGTACAGCACCCCTGGAGCAGTTGGGGTTAAGGGCCTTGCTCAGGGGCCTTCTGCTGGCCACGGGATTTGAACCAGCAACCTTCCAGCCACAGGGGCAGGTCCTTAGCCACAGAGCCATCTCTGCAATTGCAAAGGGAAGCAGAATTTGCAGGGCTCTGTTGCTTATTCCTTGGTACTCCAATAGTATGAGTTTTTTGCATTGTGTTAATCGGTATGCAACTTTGTATGATAAAAGAAAAACTTTGCTGGGGACTGTAGCTTGGTTAGAAAAAACAGCTTTGTGTTCATTCATTTAACTTGTGAGAAAAATAGGAGGCTTACTTATCAAACTACAGTGAACAGTTTCTAAATTACGTTTCAATGTTTTAAAACTTTAAGGCAGACAACACACAGTGGATATTCTTCAGTGTCCACAATTGTGCATGTGAAACAGAAATTCAAGAAACTGTCATCATACTTTCTATATTTGGTTTACATCTCTCTTTATAACTAGGCTCCATGTCCTTCAAGTTTTTTACTCATATTTAAAAACCTCTTCATTGCGATCGTGTAACAAAAAACTCACAAAATGACCACTCATAGAAACATGAAACACCGAAGCCGCGGTCAACTGGTATGCTTCTTACAGACTGCCGACTCTCTTGCCTAGTGTCATGTGACACAATCTAGCTAGATAGCGCACAACTCATACATTCAGTGTGCATGAACAGCTTGTTTTGCTTGAAATACATTTTTTCTTTGACTGGCGATACCCGTGACACCCCGACCGACAATGGCACCTTCCTAAGGAGGCGCGATGCACAGTGTGGAACCACTGAGGTACGTGCGCCATCTAACGGCAAGAATAATGAAATGTAAGTAAAAATAGAACCAAACAAGGTGGAATATGGCGAAAATTTACTGATTTATTTTTTACCTCAAGGGCCGGTTAAAACTGGCTGGCGGGCCAGAAGGGGATAGAAGGTGAAAAAGCAGGGTCAAGATTTCTATGTCTTGGTGCAGGACATGAAAGCAATATAACTCTGCCTCAGCGTCCCCTGGCACCAAGAAAGGAAATCCATAAGGTAAAGATCTGATTCATGGAAACAAAGCAATCCTCAATGAAACGGGGCTTTCTGAGCAGATCCAGATAGACAGAAAAGAATAACGGATAGAGCACGAGCCTGCATTCTCTCCTCAACTGTCCACACCACAGTTTTCCCTGGGTCAGAGATTAAATAAAACTTTACTCGCACCAAACAAATTACCACACACAGAACACTGAACATGTTGACCCAAATATGTCTCACGATAGCAAAACTGAGCTCCTTGGATCAACAGTTCAGAATTATATGTTCAGTACTCTAGTTACTGTTACCCAGTAACAAACAGGATTCTGAGCCAGTTAGCGGCTAAGCATTTTTATTAATAGTAAGTATACTGCTTGACATAGTCATCTATAATAAACAAGCCCACATTTATTTTTGATGTCCAGGATGTGTGTATCCTATGCAGAATGTAAACCTGTTTACATTTTAAAACAAAAAAATAGATAATTAGAATGAGAAAATTAGATAATGTATATAAACCTGGACCGGAGTTGGAAACAGTGCACATTCTTGAAACACTGCATGTTCATTAAAGTAAGTTTGTATTCTAGGAAGACAATACAGGATCTACAGCCAGTGCCATGTTCTGATAACAGTGTAAATTCAAGAGAAGATCTACAGAATCACAGTATACACAGTATTCTGTAGATACTGTGCAGGTTCTGAGCAGACATTATATGACAGAAAACAGTAAAGATTACAGTAAGGATGGAAAGGATTTAGTAAGGAAACAATGAAAATGAATAAATAAAACAGAATCTATTTGGCACTCACTGTCACATCCAGCTTCTGAAGGGCGAAGAGCTGGTGATCAACCTGGACTGACCATAGTAACTGCTCAGTACTGTCCATCAACTTCAGAGTCCCTGCAAAATGGACAGAGAGAACTTTATGTCTTCAGTCAATCTGGCTGAAGAAGTGTCCTTTATAATGCCATGTATAAGACCCAGATACATAAGCAAACAAGGATGTTATATTTTCCATTATAAAAATGTTTCAAATCAGAGGTAAAATAAAACAGTCCTAGGGTATTGGTATTAGAGTACCTCCTTGGAAGTCTGATAACATCCAAGATGACCCTAGACCAAACTTTTGTTTTTTAGGTGCACCATTTAGGAATATTTTGAACTGTACATGCTGTGTTAAAGTTTAACATCTAACACTAAGCAGAAGATCAAACTTGTGATCTGATCCTTTAACGAAAATTTGTTTCAAGTTGAAAAAATGCCCAAATCATGTTAAACTACTGTAAATGTTAAAATATTTACTGTTTTTCAAAGTACACAGGTGATGTTTTTCAAATGTTTTATATTACAGTATATATAAAGTAATATATATATACTTCAAAGTACTCAAGTGTTATTTTTCAAATGTTTTACATTACAGTATATATAAAGTAACTGACACTGACATAATATGACTTAAATAGTCATATGCGTATATCACAACAACCTTGGAAAAGGTCAGTGTTAGTCACAGCCAATTAGTCTTAGTGACAGTAAAAACATTTCAGCCAAAACCTAAATAGACGTACCTTACTAAGGTGTGGATCTGTTAAATAAATGGTGGACATGATATAAAAAATTCATAATAGATAACAGAATACACGTCTTGTAAGATGTGTCTGTGGGACCCTTTGAGAAAACAGCTTGAGGGAATTTTTTAATCATTTGGCTACTAACATTGAAATGAACACGATGGGCTGAATAGTTCCAAACTGTATTTTTTCTTTCTCTTTTATATGTTTGGAGGCTGTCCAAATCTAGATATACCGCAACATTCAAATTACAGATACTAAGGCATTTATAAGCCTCCTTCTTACATTTTGGTGGCTTTCACGTAAGATAACTACTGCATACTGTATGCTGGAGATGTGACTTTTCATTGACAAATATTTAGAGATCTACACTATGCCCCTGCTCAGGTTAGGTCTAACTTGACATCACACACAGTTAAGCAAGCAGAAATGGTTGTGATTGGTTGACATCCAGTAAAGGTGCCTTTTCTGGAATTCCTGGAAGACCATGAGTGAATAAATACAGAAGTAGTGAGCTAAGTAACCTACAAACACGAGAGTGGCCAGAACTCCTTAAGCCTCAGGAAACTACGACACGTATAGGGGACATCAAATAGGACTCTTTAAAAAACTTTTAAAAAAATATAAAATAAAAATGAGAGGCAATGCAGATGCTTATGAACTGATGTAAAATTGTCTAGTTTGAGGTAATGTACAGTATGGACTGGATTATACTGATATACTGAGTTTAGTATGATTTACAAATTTGAAACCAAGGATGTAGGCAGGCCAAAACAAAAAAAATAAGCACTATGGTACTACAGTAATTCGGCAGTAAAATGTTTATCCTTTCACTTTTCTTCAAATAGTAATATATTCTACACTTTGTTAACAAGGAGCACATAGGTTCAATGCAATAGTCTCTAAATAAATAAACCATTTAGTTTATTTTGCTCAGCCAGCCTTTTCCAATTTCTTATGCCTACCAAACATTATTTTTTCCTCTCCTAACCCAGTGAGGAGGTAAATATAGATGCGAGTCGGTAACGTGATTGGGGGCAACCAGCCCTAAGCCTCAAACCATGCAGGGAGACCCAGGGCAGATGGAGACTCCATCCACTCTGAGATGATAATCCACATCACAGCACTACCCACCAAACAAGGAGAAGATCATGCATTAATATTAATTACTTTCAGCCCAGAGGGCAGCCTGCTGGGGGTCTGTATTGAACTCCTTTAGGCTCTTAATGAAGAGGTCTCAGTGGGAACAGATCATTAAGAGACCTGCAGGAGCCCTTAGTAAAGGAAGTTGGGGCTCCCTGTGTCCGGAGATTCTCTGGTTCCATCTCTAAAAACTGTTAAAACTTCAGGTTTTGTACCTGCTCCTCTCCTCTCTGCATACCTCCATCTAGTTAAAGCTTTAGAAGGATCTTTCTTTGCAGTTCCATTTCCATTATACGGGACAAATTGCACAAAATACTTGATCAATGTTTTACAATTGTGTCCATTCCAACATTGAAGCTTGATTAATCCAGCTAATTTAAGTAAATGCAACCCTCCAACTCACAACTGGAAACCCACTGAAGCTAAGCAGGTGTGAGCCTGGCCAGTACCTGGATGGGAAACGCCTTGAAAAGCTAGGGTTGCTGCTGGAAGAGGTGTAAGTGGGGTCAATAGGGGGTGCTCACCCTGCAGTCTGGTCCTAATTCACCAGTATAGTGACAGAGACACTATACTGTAAAAAGGCGCCATCTTTCGGATGAGACATAAAAACGAGGTCCTGATTCTCTGTGATCATTAAAAATTCCAAGGGCATTTCTCGAAAAAACAGTGGGGGTGTTACCCGGCACCCTGGCCAAATTTCCCATTGGCCTTTACCAATCAGGGTCCCCTAATAATCCCCATCTATAAATTTGTTTCATCACTCTATTCTCCTCACTTGATGTGTGGTAAGCGTACTGGTGCACTATGACCACCGTCGTATCATCCAGGTGGGAGATACGCATACTGTAGGTGGTGGTGGAGGGCAGTTCCCACTACCTGTAAAGCGCTATGATGGAGTCTGCTAGCAGAATCTGTATGTTACTCTGTACCTATATAGTGGTAGGAGATGTGAACTCCTTCTGAATTCACATGCTAAATTCTAACCTTTATGCTTGCTTTAGCACAGATGCGTTTCCATCTCTGTACTAAACTCCCACCTTCTGTACCAAACCCTGATAAGGAAGGAATGTTTTAATTGCTCTCTGACTCCTTCAGTTTCTTGAGAACGTATCTCAAAGACAGGAGAGGGGGGTCTAGAGAAAAGTGTATATAAACTATCCCCTTTGAACAACTACAATAATAATCCTCATTGTATTGTTCCTTGTATGGATACAATAAAGCTTTGCTTGACAAATGGACACCTCAGGCTCGAATCTCTTTGTTTCTACAGCTTTAAGTGGAGTGTACTCTGAAGAGCGCTGTATAAGTATAAGGAATTATTATTATTAATATTGTTTACATTTGTAACTTTCAAACTTTGTCAAAATGTTAACCCTAACTCTAGATAAATTCTATTTCTTAAATTAAACATGATGACTGTACAAACTATAGGAGCATGGACAGAGATGCAAACAGATTTTCAGTTGGTGTCATAACATTAATAATCTTAAATCTTTTCCATTTGTTGTTAAAATGCCATTTTAAGACTAATGGAAAATGAAACTAATTGTCAATAACATGATCGCTAGGCCAGCTAGAGAGAAACAAAACTCTTTTCAAACACTTAAGTTTCCCCGGGTGACTGTCCACGTCTGTGTGGAGTTTATATGTTCCACATGTTCTCCCTCCCACTTCTTTGCTCCTTGATAAGAGTGCGTGTGAGCTGTGTCCCAGATCAGGACATTATGCTTTTTAACCACAATGCATTCCATGCAATGCATCATAGACATCAGAGGAAAGTTAATAAAATATGTTCTTCTTAATTTAATATCTCATATGTTCCAAAGACACGGTGTTGTGGTGATGCACAACAGTGTAAAACAGTTCTGCAAACTGGGCAACTGCTAAACAATTGCAGTACAGCTCATAGTAGCTAGTGACAAGGACAACTGTTTTCTGAGTTTCTTAGTTTCAGAAATTAGTCTGTAGTGTTTCACACAGATGTGCTAATTTAGCTTTAAACCTCTCATGCAGATCCCACCCAGGCCTTATTATATATGTTGACTACCAGATCTGACGAGGGGACAAAGACAAAGGACAAATATTTTATAATATTTTTGGATTTTGTGAGTGGCTTTTATGAATTTTGTGTTTCTCTTTTTTATTTTTAAAGGGCTTCCGTAAAACAGAACAGGAAGTGTATCCCTCACCAAGTACAACGTGTATTTTTATTTCAGTGGGTGAGCGGAATACATTAACAAAAAGCTACATGTCCCATACACATTACAAAATTCTGTGAATATACACAGATATCCACACATCAACTATTACTGCCATTCTTGCAGACTGACTTCATCTAGAAACCATTATTTCACTATTGTTTTGCAAGAGATCATTAAAACGATATTCCCATATTTCAAGCAATGCATACCTCACCAATATAAGGCCAAACTGTAATATTAACAATTTCAGGTGTTTTGAGTAGTTTATAGTCATTCTATTAAATTCCTTGTTTTCTAAGAATTTCTGTGAAACCCAAATATCCAAGTCTGATCCTGCCTCCAGTCATGGCATGTAATCTCCTTTTCAGAAAAAAGATACCGTTCAGCGATATTGTTTTTTAAAATACATAGCTAGGCTATGTACTGTATCTCTGTGAAACTGCAGAGTGCATCCCCTGCTCGGTTACCTCCATCAAACTGCACAGCGCATCCCCTGCTCGGCTATCTCCACCAAACTGCACAGTGAGTGGTAGTGTTTGTGATTACAGCCTGTCTCAATCTGCCAGAAGTACAGAGAATTCTAAGATAAGGATGTGGTGCTGCTACAAACATACCGTTATGATTCTTAACATTGTTTTGCTGCACTTTGTGCAATCCACTTACTCTCTGCTTACTAAGCATGGTACATTCACTCGATAACAAAGGAACCTATAGTTGTGAAAATCTTACAACTGGCAGACTACAGTAGTTCTCAGTACTGTAGGACATATCATGGCCAAACCCCTAGGCATCAACACCAACATAAATAGTAATGGTAAGCAGCAAATCAAGATGACCTTGGTCACAATAGATGAATCAAGGTTAAACTGTAATACAAATAACAAAAAACAAAACACTGTACAATAAGCCTCATCCACACTTGGGAAACAAAGTGTAGTCATGGGTTTATATCATTTGATAAGTGTTATGCTGGGGTTGCTGAGGTTTCAGGGCCGTGGCAAAAGACAAGCAGCTCCAGAGGAGCAGAGGGCCTCCGGCATCTTTCAGAAGGCTTGGTGGGAGCAGGGCTTATAGATATAAAGAAATGCAGGCTGATTGAAATGTGGCTTTCAGATAAATGCAGATCGAAAAAAGGCTGCCTTGACGCAGCAGAGAGGCTGGCTTGAAGACAGCTGTCTGAAAAAATGTGAAGGTTTGAGGCAGAATAAGACTCTCTGGAGACAGCAGTGGAGAAGGCTGGGAGCCGCAGTTTGGAGAAGACAGAAAGAGAAAAAGGGTCGAGAAATTCCGCACCAAAAAAGCAAGGAGGGCTGAATGCCCCCCCTCATTTAGTGCTCGTGAATCTGGGCAAAAACATTCAATGGATGTTTATAGTTCATTATAGTAATGATAAGCTTAGCACCGAGTGCTTAGCTTAATGTCGGAGTACTGATTAGCGGGCAAAAAGTCTTTTAAGTAGTCTGCTTAATTGTCTGATTGATTTTGGAATGGTCTATTTGATTGAAAGATTAGTGGCCTTTGGGAAATGTGTCCTGAGTGAGTTTGCACTGGCTCAGAAGGAGGGTTGGTTACCTGGAGCAACCGAGGCACTCCCGGCCCTGGTGTAACTATAAGTGCATGAGTTAGATAGGAGTTCTAGAATGCTTGTTTGACTATCTATGTTTGTGAGTTAAACAAAACAAACTATTTACAGGAACAAATTCTGTCCTTAGATAGCATTTCTTTTCTTGGGTATTCCTTTTAAATGTCCACCACCATGAGGATAAAACAATGAACTGTGAGCATGGATTGTGGACATAAGTTGTAGGAATGTGCAATGCTAAGGAATACAAGTCTGAATTTTTCATAAGTAATAAAATAAATATGTAATTTTCCATGTTTCTAATGAAATACATAAAGGTGACTGAGGTGACATCCTGTGTTTAGCAAACACATTTAGCAAACTGTAATTATAATTTATAAATTTCTAGGCTTGAAGTTTTTAATGTTACTGAAAGAATTTACAGTATAAACTGCAAAGCTAGGCTGCTAATTTACAAGCAATACAAAAGACCAGAATGGAAAGCAGTTTTCCATCTGATGCAGTACATTTGAGCATACTGTCTTTTATTTTTGAAAGACCCGAAGGTTTCAGGCATATAATTTCTAATATCCTGTAATAGCTCCATATAACTAACTCTAATTACACAAATTTACTTAATTACTTTAACGTTAATATTATCTCTGCAGTCTGAGCAATATGTTCATTTAATCTAAGCTATTTAGGGATTTAGCTGCAAACATCATAATTTTGCCTCTGTGTTTGACAGAGGTTCTTCCATTTTGAGGACTGTGAAGAGATTTCCACTGCTATTAATCACCCTGTCACTGAAAAGCTCATCTTGTGAATAATGGAACAACTCTTCCTCAAGAATAAAGAGATTTAACAGAATATTACACTTGACAGTTTGGTTAGGATCTGTTGCCTTTGTGGAAAGGACTAATGGCAGGAAAGATCTATCAAGGAACTTATTGTTTTTGTGAGTACAGTATGAGTAACATAAATAAAAAATACATGGTAATACAAGAAAAGCTTTTGCTATAGTTAATCAAACATTACTGAGGAAGCATTATGAGCAGTAGCTGGAGTATCTGAACTTGTAACTGGAAAGTGTTCAAATTCCAGGTAGGACAATGTAGCTTTCCCCTTGAAGAAAGTGCTTCACTAAAACTTCAGTAAAAACCCAGCTGTATGAATGGGTGCAAATTTAACTCACTTTGGATAAAAGCATCAGTCAAATGAATTAGTAAAAATACTGAATCTTCTTAAAGACTTCAAGGCTATGATTTTGGTATGACTTTGGTCTTTACTGTCTATTATGCTTGGTAAAACAACTCACCACTACTGAATGGAGGAACAGTATGACAAAAAATATTCCGCTCCAATGTTGAAGTCCATGATTAAACCAAAAACACTCCCTTCTCAAAGGCAGCTCACTGCCCCTCTCCTGCTTTCACAGTTAATTATATTTTTCAAAGCGATGTATGAGAGCACTTAGTGAAAGGTCTCCATTTCCTCTGCTCGGAACCCCCTAACACTCATGCTAATTATGTCTCTCACCCCAAGATGAAAGTGACTTACTGAGATTCTGGAGCCCAGTTTGACAAAACTAGCACGTACCATCCAGCAGATTTCAAAAGAAACCTAAAACGACTATTAATATTTGATCGTCCTTTGGAGGAGCTAGATAGATAGAAAGAGTTTCCATATACAATTTTCTCTCAGATTCCAGACCCTACAGTATTAATATACTGTAGATTTAATTTTTAGAAAAATATCCCTAAACCGGAAATGTCATTACTGCAAAATAATAAAATGTTTATCTTCAGTTGTAATAATTATCCTTACAAAAAAGGTGATCTTGTAAGGCTAATTCCATACATTTGTCGTTAGCGTTAACTAGTATTCTCTTCAAAAACAAATTTTAAAAAAGCACACTTAGAGTTTCTTACACATTCCGATATGAACAGGAATACAATATAACAACTTGATTGTTTTGATTTAGGTAATTCTCAAAACAATCTGTGGTTCACCACGATAGTTAATACTCAGAAACACTGCTCATTTTGTGGATAACTTGCAGCAGTCCAAACTTATTCCTGAGCTCAAATGTCTCTTAGCATCTTTTTAAGACTGGTGTAAACCTATTAAGACATTAGAATGCACAGAACAAAAAACATTACACAGTAATCTCCTAAAATACTGTGTAGATTACTTTTCTTGTATCAATACAGTCTTTCACTTTAAGGGGGGGTCTCATGTGGTTCAAATTTAGCAGAATTAATTGGCATTCCAGCCCAGTTGCTGCTGCAAAGTAAACTACAGCTAAAACAGGAACAGCTCATTTGTTACCATATTTATTTCAGTGTTAATTTAAATGATTAATTTGGAGTCATAGCCAACATTTCTAATGCATGCAGATGTGGCTTGTAAAGGATATTTGCATTAAAATTTTCCTTACATCAACATTTTCTGTAAGAAAAAATAAAATCAATATGTTCACAGCTAATGCTCTGTTGTATGTTGCGAACCACTGTCACCCCACAATTTCCAAATTATATTTCCTTCTGAATATAGTCAAAGAGGTGAGAAACAATTGATCTTACTCACTACGTAAGCTATTTAATTAATTTTGAGGCTCATGCATACCAACAGGATTAGATGAAGGCACATTCAAGGAAACTAGTAATCAAAATAGAAATCCCAATCACCCAGAAAATGAAAAGGCTGTTTATGAGAAGCATTGTAGTGTAATTGAAGGAATGTCAATGAATTAGATGCAGATTGTAGATTGTAAAATGTCAATACTGCCAAAGTATTATTTTCCAGGGTAAAATTCCGTGAAACTCTAAAACCTATTTAACTTTCCACTAAGCTTGCAATGCTCTAATAATGCAATATATCATTTTCTCCCCTGTAAAACTAAAACTAGTGTTTGTGGAAGCCTATTCACCAAAAAGCAATTTTAAGGACTGAGCAGCCACCTCAGTAATATTTCACGGTCTTACCATCCAATGTGCAGAGGGCAAAGAGGCCGCGTTTGGAGGATTCATCTTTTGAACCTGTAAACGAAAATAATACAGAGCAACTCAGCTGTTGCTACTGGCAAAGGAAAAACAAAGAACTTCATTTATGGAATGATGAACTGAAACTTCCGCTCAACCCAACGAGCGAACTGTATTCAGAAACCATATCTAAATGCAGTCTCTCATTACTAAAAAAGGTACCATAATTCACATAAGTTAAGTCTATCAATTATTTCTGCACTATAGAATGGATTTGAGTACTGGATTTGAAAATAGCAAGCTGTTTTTTTCAGCTCAATTTCTGCAAGCTATGTGTAATACATTTAAGTTCTCAAGTTCAAGATTAATTTTAGGGTTTCAAATGTTTGCAGTCACATGCAATATACTAAATTCATTGCTTTTAAGTATTCCTGAAAAGAAAGACATCTTCAACATTACTGAATGATATCTTAATGGTACCAACTCTCTGATTAGTATGCTGGTATCAGACTGGCAGATTTTAAACTTGAACATATCTATAAGTGAAGTGTTTCATGTTTTATCACAGAGGAGTATTATTTTCTTTAATATAATCTCAACTTACAGTGCTTGCAAATGTATTCACCCCCCTTCCACTGATGTACAGTTTTGCTGAATTCTAAATGATGCATACAAATTCATATTTTCAAAACTGAACCTGGGGGTGGATACTTATGCAACCAATTATAGGCTTTTATTTTTTAAGTTTTTGCTTTCTTTCCCCCATAAAGGTATTTGACCATTCAAGTTCTGAATAAAATATAGTACTCAAAATGTCAATGTGTATCTGTCATTTCTATATCAACAATATGGGTCAAAACAAGAAGAGGAGTCAACACTTAGAAATACCTGCAAAGGAACAAGTAACAGGTTTATTTTATGCTGAAAAGAGAAGAAAGAAAACACAACATTTCGGCTCTGGAGCCTTCTTCTTTTTCCCTTAGAAATATCTTACTACTATGCATACGTCAGCACAGCAAAGTCCCAGCAAAATGTGTCCTAGATGTCAAATTCCTGCACTCATCTGCAGACTCCATCAAAAGAATGGCAATGGACTGTCTGTTTGGCTTCAATAAGAAGTCTGCATGTAACCTATTAATTACCAGCCTTATTCAGTTCAATAGGCTGTGAAATGACACGACTTCTCTACAGTCTGCCACCAGGATTGAAGATCTAGGATATTCAAAAAGCCAGATGTCATCTAGTGCTATGGCCAATTAACATGGCTTTCAAATTCATGATCTTTAAAATGAAATATTAATGTTCTTCTTCAGAAATGAAAAATACGCATTAATTAAACATTTCAATATCAGAAGTACTATTTTTAATGTAATGTTTGTAAATAGAATATGTAAATGACATACATAAGGCAGTGCCTTACAAAAGTATTCAGACCTTTGCATTGTGTTTACATTTTACGGTTTAAAGCTTTCAGTGATTACACTTTTAAGTAGTAATTATGATTTGTTACATACACAACCTACTTCAAATATGCAAAGCATTAAACAAAAAGAAAAGTTTTTATGTCATTATTGCATATATATTCAAACCATTTGTTGTGGCTAATCTAAATTAATTTAGGTGCAGAACATTACCTTAATTAGCCACGCAATGAGTTGATTTCAGAATAAATATACATGTTTCTGTAAGTCCCCCAGTCCTCAGGTAATTAATTTCAAGCAAAACTTAAATCAGGGGGTGGCACAGAGGTGCAGTGGTTAACATTGCTGGGGCCCTGGGTTCAATTCTGGACATGGGGTGCTATCTGTATGGAGTTTGTATGTTCTTCCCGTGTTCACTTGGGTTACCTCCGGGGGCTCCGGTTTCCTCCCATAGTCCAAACACATACTAATAATAATAATTGCTTACACTTATATAGCGCTTTTCTGGACACTCCACTCAAAGCGCTTTATAGGTAATGGGGACTCCCCTCCACCACCACCAATGTGCAGCATCCACCTGGATGCTGCACATTGCCATAGTGCCATAGTGCGCCAGAACGTTCACCACACATCAGCTATCAGTGGGGAGAAGAACAGAGTAATGAAGCCAATTCAGGCCATGATTGGTAAGGGCCAATGGGAAATTTGGCCAGGACGCCGGGGTTACACCCCTACTCTTTTCGAGAAACGCCCTGGGATTTTTAATGAACACAGAGAGTCAGGACCTCGGTTTTACATCTCATCCAGGATGGCGCCTGTTTACAGTATAGTGTCCCCATCACTATACTGGGGCATTAGGACCCACACAGACTGCAGGGTGAGTGCCCCCTGCTGGCCCCACTAACACCTCTTCCAGCAGCAACCTTAGTGTTTCCCATCCAGGTACTGACCAGGCTCACACCCGCTTAGCTTCAGTGGGTTGCCAGTTGTGAGTTGCAGGGTGATATGGCTGCTGGATACTGGTACATTATTTGGCTTCTTGGAGAACTGTCCCTGGTGTGAGTGTGTGCGTGTCTATGTTTCTGTCTGTGTGTGCCCTGAGATGGACTGGCATCCCATTGAGGGCATATCCTGCCTTGCGTCCATTGCTTGCTGGGTTAGAATCCAGCTCCCCTGCAACCCTGTATTGGATAAAGCAGTCATAAAATGCATGAAGCCAGAAAGACCAAGGAGAATTTATAACAACACAGGGGTAGATTTGTATGAAGTCACAGAACAGGAGAAAACAGAAAAATATATTTCTTTAGGCACCCGTGTAGTGCCTAGTACAGGCTGTCCTTCCAAACTGAGCAGCCCAGCAAGGACGAAATTACTTAGAGATGCCACCGTGAGGTCAATGGTAACCTTGAAATATCTACAGAGTTCAACTGATTAGAAAATCCCCATGAATAAATATCCAAGTGACTCCACAAAGGAGTCGTATATGGAAGAGTAGAAAAACATATCATATTTCACCTGGGGATTTCAACAAAGTGGTCATATTGCAAACATGTGGCAAAAGGCTTTGTGGTCAGGCATGGTAAAACTGGATATTTTTTGTCTAAAAGAAAAGCCTTACATGTGATGCAAACCTAACAGCGCATTTCTCAGTCAACACCATCCCTACTGTCAAGCATGGTGGCAGCAGCATAATATTATTGTTCTCATCAGCAGGGGCTGAGAATCTTCACAAGAGGGAAATGAAGATGGAGAAACATAATGACAAATCCTAGAGGAAAACCTGCTTTAGACATAATACTGAGAGAAAAATTCTCCATTCAGTAGAAAAATGGTCCAAAACACAAAGCCAAAGCTCTTAGAATTAGAAAGTGAATGTGAGTGGCCCAGTCCTGACCTGAATCCTAATCCAAAAGCAATCCCCAAGCAACTTGAGAGATGCTGAACAAAGACGTCAAGAAGAATGAGCAAAAATCGCATCAAGCTGCTGGGCAGAACTGGTAAAGACTCACTCAATGCAAGCAGAATGTAATTTCTGCCAGTGGTGCTTCCACCATATACTGAGATCCCCTGTCTGAGAAACCTATGGAATCAACATATTTCATTTCTTTCTTTAGACTTTGCAGACATTAACTGTAACTAATCGTACACTTAGAAGTCTTCAGTTTGAACATTCCTTTTTTGAATAAAATAGTTTTAAAAAATGCGACTACATTACTTTGTCATTTCACAAAATGGGAAACTACAGGAAAGGCCAAAATACTTTTGGAAGGCATTGTATATAGGAAGGTCTTTTTTAGCCTTTTTATTTTGTTGCATTTAACACAGGTTTGTAAAAAAGATTTTTGTTAAACAACATTTTGTATTTAAAATGCACTGACAGGCACCATATGACAGCATTGCTACACTAGAGCCTCTATGTGACATGAGGCGGAAAAGAAACTACTGAGCTTTGTGGCTTACAAAATATATAAGCCTTGTTACACCAAATAGTGTATTATTGCTCAAAATAGTTTTTCCTCACACCCCAACAGCAAATAACTGTCATTATTTATTATAAATATTCTAAATATTTTAAAACACATTGTATCATTGTGGAGTAACACTGTAGCACAGTCATTTGAATTGCTGCCTCACAGCACTAGAGCCCCACGGTTAAAATCCGGACCTGGGCTGCTATATGTGTGGAGTTTGTATGTTCTCCCAGTGTTCACATGGGTTTCCTCCAGGTGCTTCACTTTCCTCCCATAGTCCAAAGACATGCTGGTAGGTTAATTGTCTTTGAGTGAAATTTGCCCTGGTGTGACTTGTGACTAGTCCCTTCCAGGGTATATCCTGCCTTGCGCCTGTTGCTGGCTGAGGTAGGCTCCAGCTCCCCCCCATTACCCCTTATTGGATATAGGATTTGGATTGGTGTGAAAATGGAGAGAAGCATAATTGTATAATAACTAAAATATAGGTAAGTGCTATTACTGTATTTTTTACCTTTAAATCAGATTGAAAACCAACACTTACAGCACTTTGCAGGGCTGTAAAAGACTAAGGAGGTCTAAATTGTGCAAAAGACTTGATTTGAAGTGTGAAACACCTCCTATGTTTCTTAACTGTATCATTTACAGAGCTGCCTCCTTGCACCTGATAATATGTTAATATGTGTATTTCTCTATCCAATTAACCATATTGCTTTGTGCCTCTTTTCATCTGGCTCACATTAAACAGGAGCAACCTTTGTTCCAACTCAATGCCCAGGTGATCAATCAGTAAATCCCATTGAAATATTTAGAGCACGGTATTTTTACTCTACTTACATAAGCACTTCGGCTACATTTGCCATATGTCAGACATTGTGTCTTTTTATTTTAATAACATACCATTTAATATTTTTCCTCAGTTGGACTGTATTTATTTAGAATATTGACATACATAATATTTAAATGTAAAAAAATAATAGCATGTACGCCCTTATCAAGGTTAACTGTGAAATCACATGTTAAACGGACATGTTAACAGACTGCAAATCATAATACTGAATTATGACAATGGAAACATTATATGATCTAAAAATGATCTAGAATAACAAGCAAAAGGTTGGGAAATGAAATGCACTGCTCAACTGTAATTTTCAGTGCTAGATTTGAG